CTGATTGCAAACTCTGGAGAGGACTGTCTGAGGCTCAGTCAGAAGATACCTAACGTTCCTGTCCCTCCCTTGCCATTCTGAGTCAAGAAGCCTTGAGCCAACAGGACCACTGGACCATCAGAGACTTTACAAGGTTCCTCTCTAAAGGGTAGAAGCGGCAGGTACTGAAACAAATATTCACAGTCATCTCACATGCTGGCATTTATAGGGTATTCAGGATAAAACTGAACAATCTTCTTCTTCGCCAAGAATGCTTTTTTCCTTAGATGGCAAGACAGGAAACTGAAGCGCTCAACAGTAGGAAATATAAATCTCTGGAATGCTTTCATGACATTAATATCTCCCAAGTGCCTGAACAGATTTCTTTTGAATGAGTTTAGAGAAAATGATACACTCTTTCAGAAGACCCAAACACTTAAATATCCTCCTCCAGAAAATGACCTTCCTGACCTAGAAAATGATAAATTAAAAACTCAGGTGCCCCCCTCTTTTTTCCTTCCTCTTCTCCAAAGTACTGCCTTCTATCTATGGTGAATAAATCAGAAGGAGCCAGACCCTTCATGGAAACCACTTGGAGATGTTTTGATCATTTCCAGAATGGATTGATGAACTTGTGAGTAGTCACAGTGTAGGATGCTGTCAAACCTCTTTGTCCCACCATGAAATCAAGTTTTTAATCCCCACGAGATTTCTTCTCTGTAGTCATTCTCCATGCACTGATGTGAGCTGTCTGTCACCTTTTAAGAAGAACACTGGTTTCAGCCCCCTCCCCTCAATGGCTGCTGTCTAAGATGTGTGACAGCTTGAAGCCCTCTGAAGTGAAGGTACCAAAGGTTACACAGGGCATCTTTCAGTCCAAAGTGGTAATGGGAACAAGAGCCTTCTCTACCTTGCAGGTCAGCTTTGGTCAACGCAACTTTGTTAGCAAAAGAACAGAAAAAGCGAAAACAATAACCAGAGGTTAGTAAGAGGTAGAGTAAACCAGGTAACATCACAGAAATGAAAATGCAGGCTGCATAACCAACATCACCCAAACAGACAAAGAGGGGCTCTACTGGTTCACCAGGGACAGCACAGACAAGGTGACACAAGGACACACAGACCAGAGGTACAGCAGGCCTCCTCAGAGCCAGTTCAGCAGAACAGGGACAGGGAAATAATGGACTTGACAAAGCACAAGCAACGGGCAACAAGATTTACATTTACACAGCCAATCCCAAGGCAGATGGTCCGGTAAGAAGGGTGGTGCATGGCCGGACTGAAAGACATGTGTGCACAATTGGCTCAAGCCCACAAAAATGATTCTGAGCATTTTGGAGCTCGGCACGGAAGTGTTCCTTGGGAGAACCCACGTCTTGCACCTTCCTGCTGATGCCACGAAGAAACATGGCACCAGAATAGGACGTGTGCAGCAAGGTGACTTACTTCAGAACGCCAAAGAGCTCAGCTTATTGAATTTATAAGAAAGTAGCCAAATCCAATTATTTGTGGGCAAAAAGGCATCAAATCATTGTCCTTTTTGTTCATTCATCTCAGGCTCAAAATGAAGCACATGTGTTTCTCTCAGATGTTTACCATCTGTGGTAATGGAACAGTATTTTTAGACAATAATGCCTTGGCCTCTGCAACACGGGAATCTCAGGAGAGGAAGGATATTTACCAGCCAAGCATTAAATCAGGCATTATTTTAAGATATCCACGCTCAAACAGAGAAGTCAAAAGTCACAGCTAGCTGTTGGCTGGGAAATTCACACAACTTCTAAGTTTTACATTTTGCAACATATTAGAGACATAAAATCAAAACCTATTTCAAGATGTGTTTGGCTTCAAAAAATTGACAGCCAAAGACAAGTGAAGTAATAATCTTAAAAATAATTTTAGGCTCTTTTGCCTTTTATGTCCTGCCATGCCTGGATATAATAGAGAAAATACTAGATTTACTACTTAGGGATCTTAAAATGTAATTTTCAATGACTTTAACAGAACATATGTGACATCTTGGTCTGTGTACCCTAAATATGTGAGAATGAACCACATTCACCATTTTGAAGGACCTGAGTCATTACTTTTTGGTAATGAATCCTAATCCCATAATGTTTATTATTCTACACGTAGAAATAATAAGTCAAGAAATATCCTAAGGTTCTCACACCGACTAATACCCAAAAGCTCTCTTGAAAGTCACATGCTGTGTACAAAAAATTGCAATGAGAATGATACCCCTCTGCAGCAGTCTTTCCAAGGTTCAGGGCCTTTTATTTCCCTTCCCACTACCTTGCACCACTTCATTTCCACAGAACCCTAAAAAGCTCCTGGGATCTTTTATAAGGACTTATTCACATTGGTGCAAACTTCCAATGACAGTAATTTATACCTTAACCCACTTTTGGGTCATTTTTCCTGGCTACTTAGGCTAATTATCCAAGTCATTTGTGTACAATAAACAAGGACCTTCTTCCCTGGGCACTCATCCTCCACTTCATCCCACCCAGTAGGGCAGTGATAATGCTCGACCGTAATTATCTCCATGGCAATAGAGTGCAGTGTTATTAGGCCCCTGGGATTTGCTATAGATTTGGATGGGAGAGCCATCAAGTCACAATATCTGGCTTTGAACAATCACTCGTACTTAGAGGAAGGTCAGAACCCACCATAATGCATATGATGAGTCATGGGGAACTGCACACAGAACTGCAGGTCAGGATAGCAACATTTCCCCCAATTTGGTGGGTAATTTCCTTTTGCTAATGTTCCTCATTGCTTCTCTCTAAGCTATCTTAGAAGGAGTCCATTTCCCACTTTATACTGTACATTTTATGGAAGTTCATTTAGATTTCCCTTTAATCAAAAACTGTACTTGCATTTCTCCTTACCCCAACTTATATATCCTATACAGCTGTACTTCAAATACAGTGGCCTGAAATGCATATGGCTGTAGAGCACTTTACATGTGTGTTGCTTGAATTGAGATATATTGCAAGTATAAAAGACATAGTCAACTCTGAAGGCCTAATATGATCAAAGGACTCTAATACATTTATTGATAATTTTGTAACAATTACATATTGAAATGAAAATATTTGGGATATTTTGGGTTATGTAAAATAAAATATAAAAACAAAATTAATTTAACTGTTATATCATTCAAAATAAAGCTTTTAGGAAATTTAAAAGTTTTATGTGCCTTATATTTCATTTCTATTGGATAATGTTACTCTACAGTTAAAGGAATGACTCTTCTTCACTTTTCAATCTGAAAAACTGATGACATGATAAAAAAAATTAGCATTTGAATAGTGTCTTATTTAAATATGTGACTTATATTATGACTTAACTTGCTCCGTTAATCGTCAAGGATAACTAGAGCTACCATCATTCCACAATCTTCTAAACTAAGATAGACAAGTTAATTCCAAATGATGCACCTATCCCAGCAGTGCCTTTTAGCATCTGAAAGAACTAAGAACAGGCCAATAAGACAAATTTCTTTTTTCAGTTGAATGAAATTGTGCATTTCTAGAACACAAGGTGGCCGCTTTAATTGCTGATTCCCAACATTTAGTCCCCTATACACACAGAGACCATATTTGGTCAACAGAATGTAAGAAGTATTTCTGGCTGAAGGAGAATTGGCATAGGCCCTAGAGGTGAGCAGTCTTATGCTAATACATCATAGGCAGCTGACTCCTGGGCAGAGGGAAACAGTTGTTCTAACTACAAGTCAGTCTGGGAAGCTGAAGAGAAGCTTTCACTAAAATGTGCAGTAAGGCAGTCAGAGAACTCAGATGGAGGTTGTGTAAAAATAGAGTAGTCCATGAGGTGGAACACAGGAGATGAATGAACTCATTAGATGTGGTAAATTAACAAGGGACACAAGACAAAGCAAGAGCAACACACTGCACAAACAGAGGATGATGAAGCTCCTCCAGAGGGACGAATACCTAGATCCCAGTGACTCACTGGGCAACTTCTGTCTTTTAGTTAGGTTGAGACACCTACTGCGCCACCTCGAGGCTATCATGGAACACAGAATGTGTTCACTGCTGCTCTCTGCTGGCGAAACTAGATTATTTTTACTGTGAAGAACTCTTATTGTCATTGATTTGTAAAATTCAGTTAATATCTCAAAGAAGAGTAGAACATCTACAGAAACAGGCTGAGCATGGTGTGCTGTGCTGTATGGGTGGGCATGCAATGTTCTTAGAGGTCTCACGTGAGATACTGGTAAACAGTAAACCCATGTTTATCTAGTACCTACTATGTATCAGGCATTATATCTGATTCATTTATATTATCTTTCAGAGTAAATCATATTGCCTCATTTTACCAGAAAAAAAAAGAATGAAGATGTAGCCCAGAGAGGTTAAATGACCTTCCAAATAGCACACCTACCTGTTACTTAGACCTGATTGTAGGTCTTTCTAACATTGAAGTCCACTATACCACAAAAAAAAAAAAAAAACAAAAAAAAAACAAAAAAAAACTGCTTAACAATGCCTGATAGCTAGTAAGCACTTAATAAAAATCAGGTTCTTTCATCATCATGGCATTCTGACATCATTTCCCTATCTCCTGCTAGGTTTACATTAAATAATGCAGTTGCATTTAGCCAAAAGCACTTTATTAAGGGTGACACATATACAAAGTCTGTGGTTTGCTGCTCACCTTGTATTAGAATATAAAAAGTCTCTAAGGCCTTTCAGCCCCTCTAGAAGCAAAGGCACAAACTAAGAGAAGTCTGATGTCAATGCCAAGGAAGGTTCTTTATTGGCAAGTATGTGATCCTGGGAAAACATCTGCCAGCATACACTCCTGGAGCCAGTGGCACATGTCCTGACATACTCAACCAGTGACAAGAAGACACAGATGATGATGCACTGTTGGGTGGCAAATGACAGTGAGAGCGGATTGGAAAACTGAGGATAGGGACACTGGCAGGGGCAGCAAAGAGGCCTGGTGCTTGCAACAAGGCAGTAGCTTAAAGAGAAGAAAGGTGGTACCTTCACAGCCACGTTCAATCTGCCCACTCCGATGGAGGGCATCATTGATGAGGTCAGGCAGGCGCCCATTCAAGTCCACTGATGCCAGGCAGCCCTGAAAGCCATCGCGGGAGGCCACTAGCTTTGGGAGGTTGCTGTACATGCCTTGTGCCAGGCCGGCCATGTACAGGTCACCTAGGAAGGAAAGCAAATAGCCAAGAGATCAAGTAAATAGCAGCCAGTGCACTTCAGACTATTCATTAGATAACAACAGAAGGAGCAGCTAAAACAAAATTGACATCAGAGTTTCCAAACCGCAACAAGAAGAAACCAGTATTTCTTATGTGTCATTCATGATACACATATCATCTCACGAATTTAACTCACTTATCAACTCTATAAAGTAGGTATTATCCCTTGGTATGATGAAGTAAAGATTAACAATGTTTTCAAGAAAACAGCCACTCACTTAGTACTTTTTATGTGCTTATTACAAATAATATGCTGAGGATTTTACAGACATGCCATCAAAACTCCTTATGACTCGTAAACAGAGCTAAGAAATTTCTACCCATATTACCCATACAATAAATGACTCAGCTGAAATTCCAATGATGTGTATTCTTTCCTCTTTATAATGGACCTTCCCCCATTCTGAGATTTATCACCTCATTTCTCAGTCCCCACACCAAGATATTTCTGAGGGTTATCAGAGAAGATGAACTATTACTCCATGTTAAAACTGAAAAAGTTGCATTATGGTATAATTCGATAATGTTAAAATAGGATACACAGGATGTACCAACATCCAATATAGGACACTGTGGTTTGCCTTTGCAAACAATCTTTCTAGTGTAACAAATGCTCTAAGAAGGAAAATCTTCTTTACAAGATTTACCTTTCAAATCCAGATTTTTGGCCCCATTGATGACCTGAGTGACCACCTTGGTATCCACTTTCAGGCTGTGCGTGTTACTGTTGTCCCGAGTGATGACGACATTGTGCCACTGGTTGTCATTCAGGGGACGGTCACTGTTGCCTTTGATCACATTGGGACCGTTCCCAAGGTCAAACACATAGTGTATGTACCTATGAAGGATAGAAAACACTCGACAGCATGAGGTCCCCTGAAGTGGTTTCATGGCAATATGAGTGATGCTGACACTGAGGGCTTCAAATCTCCCATGCTAAACTGGCCTACTACAACAATCTTAGAGCTATAAGAGTAGTCACTACCTCTTATATCATCCTTCATTTTAATTTCATTTTCACAGTCTATTTCTTTAACACTGCTACTACTTGAATACTTCCCAGAGCCAAGCAGTAGAGCAGGTGGTAAACTGAAAAATACTAGGAGGCAGCCTTGAAATCCAGTCAGTCATGGATATGGTTTGCTTTTGGTTGTGACTATTGTCCCATAGATGGTATTAAAATGTCTCAAAGAAAGGAAAGTGATTACAACTTTGTTTATACGAGCCAATGGTGGGGCTGAAAATACCTCTATGTATTATTACATCTCAGTATAAATTTGATAGTTGTACTCAGTATTACACAAGAGATGGTTGCAACCCATACCGTAGTTCTCTTTTTAAAAATCCAAGCATTTAGAAACTTCTTATAGTGTTAAAGGACTATATTTAATACTGAAAGCTATTGACTTAATGGAAAATCCTTAAATAAAGTTATGCCAATCTCTTTTCCAGCCCTAATAATTTGTGGATCTTTATAACCAGTGAGGATGCCAGTAAGAACACACATGCTAAGCGAGAACAGGCAGGTTTTCTCATGCTCATACTTTATGAAGGGCTTGAAGGAAGATACTCAGCATAAATTCTGTGGTCCCTTCCACTTACCCCTTCACCAGTTCCACCGCAATGAAGTCATTACCATCCCCGCTATTAAACAGGATGAAGCCATCAGCTGAGGTGGTCTTGAACTGGAAAAAGAGGTGCATGGAGGTGTAGGCCTGGAGGGTGGCGAGGCTCAGGTAACTGCTCTTGGTCTTGAAGGTGACAGGGTCAGCAATGATATTCCTCAGACCAAAGCGAGCCTTCAGCTCACAGTAATCAATGTCGCCATTTTTGCACAAATCAATGTAGAGCAAGCCATTAAACATGAGGCTCTGCAGGTGGCCAATGAAACTGGAAGGGACAACGGAGATGTATCGTTTCTCAGTCATGATACCAGTTTCGATATTGTGGAACTCCAAGCGGGTGTGGTCTCCCACCATCGTACCTATGCAAACCAGAGAGGGGGCACAGACAGGAAAAGTTACCATGTTTTATCAGAGCACTTTTGCTAGGTCTTGGAGCTAGTACTTGAGTCTACTCAAAATATTTAGTTTTCGTGATTTGGTTCCAGACAACAAAATACTCGTGATAGTATATATGCGACATCGCTTTAATCAGGGTGCTGAATACTGGCCCGGCCCAGCACAAACCCTTTCACTCACGTTCTCATTCAGCTGCTTACAATGTCTCAACATAGGAAAAAGAACATGAGGTTGTGGGTAACCCAAGTTAAAAGATAAAACTTCATATTTTCTATCCAGCAGAACATTTGAGTCCAAATACACACTGTAAGATAAAAATTCTTTGTTGCCATAACCCCTGTGAGGACACAATGCACAAGCCCAGGTATTCACTACTCAACATTTCTTGCTGTGATACCTCACCAACCCATACTTATTAAAAAGGCTTATGTAAAAATTCCATTCATGTTCATGCCTGCCCCAAATCTGTTATTTATTTTTCTGGTAGTAAACAGAATTTACCTCTGGGAAGCCACCCTTCACATTTGAAGTGTGTGAAGTAGGGGAAGCTGGCCCTAATCAAGACTAATTCCAAAGTCTAGGTTATAGCCTGATTCCATTTCTGGTAGTTCCAAGATAACATTTATGTGGCTGAGGCAGGAACCAAACTTAGGGACACAGGATTAACAGCAACCCAATCTAACATAGTGATATTCTCCTCCATAGTCTTTGCTGGCACACTGAGGAAAAGGGTTTGTTGTGCAAGCAAGACTTGCTTGCATGCAATGAAGTGACCACCAACCCCGAAAGAAATCACAATGTAGAGAAAATATGTTTCAGTGCTGATCTCATTTGAGGGTCTGGATCCAGCCAGACAAATCTGGAGATTTTTTAACTGTTTAGAAACAGATTCCCTTTTACATTTAAGTATTTGAGTTGGGTTTCTTGTATCTGCAGCTGAAAGAGCTGCAACTAGTACAATAAATTATTAGATCTGCTATTACCTGTCCTACCTGGAAATACTGAGTGATTAGAACAGACTTAGTGAAAAGGGCTTGAAATCAATGTAGATACCAGAAATTTTAATAACAAAGAAAAAACACTGCTCATATGGCCAAAGTAGAAGTGGGGTAGCTGGAGCTTCCTCAAAAATCTAAAAATAGAAATTGCATTCTACCCTCCTACCCCCTTTTTTGTATCTCCCCTAAAGACTTAAAGATATCATATTACACTGAGACATGCATACCCATGTTTATATACTGCAATTCATAGTAACAAAATCTGAGAAATAGGCTATATGTCTATCGACAGATGAATGGACAAGGAAAGTATGGTATTTAAGCACAATGGAGTCCTACTCTGCCATAAAGAAGAATAAACTTGTCATTTATAGGAAAACAGATACAACTTGAAATCATAATGTCAAGTGAAATAAATCAGATACACAAGCATAAATATCACAGGGTTTCTTTTCTATGAGAAACCAAAAATACAAATAAAGAACAAAATAAAAAGATCGATAATAGGATCTAGGGATATAGATCTTTCTCAAATGGGAAAGGGATCAAGATATGGAGGGAGCCGGGAGGGACAGGAGGGAAAGAGGATGAAAAAAGAGATGCTATGTGTTATGTATATGCACCAGCTCTACACAAGGAATGTGATCATCAGGTATTACAAATGCATACTAATAAAAATTGTAAAAATAAAATAAAATGTAACAAACAAATAAATAAAATGTAACAAATATTCTCCTGTCTTATGGTATTAGAGAGAGAGGAAGAGGAATTCTCCTTTCCTGCTTTCTTTTCTTGTTCACTTCTTCACTGAAGAAACTCCACTAGCAAGACATGCTAGACTCCCTTTACCTTTTCTTACATCTTTACAGAAGAAAAGGGTGACATAATATGAAATATTAAGGATCGCTTGCAAAGAGATACATGGCTCTGCTATATGCATATAGCTCATCCCCTTAAACTTCCTCTTCTCTTTGCCTGAGCAAGGTACCATCCATCCAAAACATCCATTCTACTCCATTCATGCGGTGTCCTACCGGGGGCTGGGGGCGGACCTTGCTTCTTGCTTCCGTAGAGGATGCTTGTTCATCCTTAGTTAGGTTCAAGTGAGCAGCTCGAGCTATCGCTGAGGTTTAGCAGTTGGAAGCCATAAGTTAATGCCAGTATCCTCACTAATGAAAGAGTGTACGATTTCTATCTCTTTTCCTTCTCTCTTTATTGACTGAGAACTCAACTGACAAAAAGGGAGAATGTGTTCTCTTGGGTACCTTAAGCTTGAACTGGACAATTCAACTACATTATATCCTTGGATGTCCATAGAGAGTTCATCTCTCCAGGAGCAAACTCAGATCTGTACACTGTTGCTGCTGAGCACCAAAGTCGGATTTCCATTCTATGAGCTTCTACTTTGGTACTTTGACAACCAGTGACACATCATTCCCTTAATATACACAAAAGTGAAGTAATGATATTGGTTAGCATCAAAATGCAAGCTAAATCTGTTGATAATACGAAAGGAATTATTGCATAAAATTAGTTTTGAAAACTGCTCTGAGCACGACACTGCAAAGCAACATAACCTAAACCCACCTCTTTTAAAACAATGAAGTGACAGAAGTAAACATTCAGTGTCAGTTTCCCTATAGTTGTTAATACCAGCCATAGGGGCTGGGCAGGAGAACGACTAGGGAGAGGTCAGAGCCACTCTGCATGGGGTCATGAACTAAAATACGACGATGTGTACATTCATGCTAATCTGTATTTTACAAAAATAATCTGCAGTGAGAATGATGAAGTGAGGATTATCCCTGGTGATTCAAAAAGATGGCTCCTTGTGTGAGAAAAGGAATCTCAAGAGAGAATTTTAAAGTCATTTGAGAGCTTTTAGAGAAATCCTTGTGAACCCAACCTTCAGGATCAAGGGCTAAGGAATTTCTGCTCACTAAGATTTTCACGAGGAAATCAATTTGATAAAACAAGAAAAATTTGTTGATTGAGATAGAAAGGAAACTGAGGAAGGACTTGGATTAACACAGGGACAGTCAGGGTTTAGGCTGACTCAAAGAGAAGCTTCAACTAAGTCTGGGACAGTAGAGGGGAAGGCAATGTGGGGCCAATTAGAAAAGGAATTGAATTACTTGGTAAAGGAGCTCATTCCCCTGTAAATGAATATGTGTATAAAACTTTAGAAAATGACTTTTTCACAAGTTGGGTGAGGGAGGAAGCAGTCAATTTGGACCACAGTAGTGAAAAGAAGGGTGAATCTTTGTACTTGTAAGAAGGTCTGGGTGGAGTGGGTGGTTCATGCATCATTAGGCCCCTATTTGGAGAATAACCCAAGTGAGATATTCTTTTAATTTATTCTTAATAATAGAAATCCTGTCCAATCGATCAATCAATCCTTATTAACTGTCAACTGAACTTAATATGTTTCCAAGAATACAATTACACTATAACAAATGATTACTGGGTTGATGAATATTTCTTTCTTTGCTTTTGATTTCCAGTGAGTCTGACCTATTCTTTGCATCATTTCTACAAACTAGCTGAAAATTTGCCCCATGGGGACACCTCATGCAGCATGAATGGAATTACTGAATAAGCCAAAAAGATGCTACTTAATAACCTGAGGACTGTGGTATTTTGGTTTCATTCCTTCATTTTATGATTTTCATGGACTAAAATTAAAATTTCCAAATTCCTTATCACTGTGAAAAGCAACCCAAGGTTGTAGCTCCTAAACAAAATAACTCTTTTCCTCTCCCAAATTTCTTTATCTTCATGACTGCTTTCTTCCGTCAGCAGTGAAGTGGCAGGGGGTGGGGGGTCAGACTGGAAATGAAAGAACTTCATTAATTTCAAATATCAAATTACTGGATAACTTTAGCATTCTGGGGTTTAGCCCTGCTTTCTAATTATGAGTGCTTACAGAAAGCACAATTTATAATTACCTTTATTCCAAAGGTTCTAAAAAGAATAATGATCGAGACAGGGAACTACAGTAACACGCTCAGCTTGCAGTTCTTTACGGCTGTACTTGCGGGGCACGTATTTTTCAAGGAAAATGAAAGGAACTCACTGCAGGGAGCGACTGTGGTGACGGTGCCATCTCGTGGTTGCTATTGAAAACATGCTGCGAATCCATTACCCGGGATTTACCCCACCAAGCCGGAGGAATAAGCAAGGAACGTGGAACTCACTACAGCCTTCGCAGGCTTCTTTCTGCATTCACATCTCATAGGGATTTCTTGAATATTTAAAGCAGGTTGACTAGGAGTTTTAAATATTTTTGCATCTCATTTTTATCATTTATTTCGTGAAGCTGTTACCCTTCAGCTATGCTGCCTAGAAACCATACCTCTTCCATTTGTACATCACCACTAACATATTCCATAGGTAGTAAGAGTGTGTAGCAAGATATTTGATGTGGTTCTGGCTCCCTTCATTTTTAGGAGGGCGAGAAGGACTGTTGTAGTTTGAATTCTTAAATGTGTTCCCCACCTCTCCCTAATCCATCTCACTATATTTTTCATTTTCTTATGATGGATTAGGATGTAAAGCAAAGAAGTTGACTTTGTGGAATCACACAGACATAAATTTGAGGTTTAATTAAGCAACTCTCTAGGTTTCATGTCCTTGTTCTCTAAAATGACAGTAAAAATCATTTATTTTGAAAGTCTGTTGAATTATGCAAGATCAAAGGACCTGAAGTGGGGAAGACAGCTGACATGGTATCTCATGCCTGCTGGATATATGCTAGATATTTTCTGTCTATCCACAGACTGTCTTTTTCTACTTACACACACATGTGCAGCCACACTCACAGTGCACACGCACACACACACACACACCTCCGCATGGACACACTTCACCATAATACCTGATTCTGAAACTATAGATACTCAGTCTCATGAATATAAGATTAAATTATGGAGGACCCCAAATCGCAGAACATTTATGCGAGAAGGAGCGTTAGAAATAACAGAAGTGTAGGTTTAAAGATGATAAAATGAAGAAAAGAGGTTTACTATATCTATCCCAAAGGCATAGAGTAAGTTAGTGGTAGTGATTGCATTAAACCCCAGAGCTCCTTGACTGTCTTACCCACAGAAGACACTGTAGAAATGGCTTAGGCCACTCACTGAATTTGACATGCCTAGAAGTGGTAAGTAGCTTTCCCAGCCTTCTTCAGAGAATCAGTGTTAGGGCTGAAATCAGATAAAGGTGATGCACTCCATAACCCCCTCTGCCTCTCCAAGTTTTCTTTTCCCAGATGGGGAAGAATTCTGCATACAATGTACTGGAACATAAGTAGATTTACTAAATGCAGCATGTAACAAATCACTTAGATATGCTTCTCTCCTTCTCCCTACTCCTTGTCAATTATATCTACTCATCAAATTCTGTCTCTAGATCTACTTTCATAAATCTAATGTGTCTACCTCAATTGCTTCTTTTGTTTGGATTGAAAATTTTAATCTAACTCACCCAAATTAGAAGCTCATAATTTCTTGATTTTCTATTTTCAAATACCAGAGTCTTAGCTAATCTAGTATATTGCTTCACTATTTGAAAAAACAGGCACTTTCTGTGCTTGCTTTTTATCTTCTATAATGCTAACACATTGCTGAGCTATACCAGGCTCTCAGAAGATACTTAAGAGTTGTATGACATGCTCAGTGTTACTTGGTATATGCATGGAGTCATTCAGTCATTGTCTTCCTAAATGTAACTTCCACCCAGCAGAGGATCCATCCTATTTGTACATCACCACATCCCCATTCCCTCCTAAAATGGTGCTTGGTACAGAATTGGCATTCAGGTAATAATGATTAAATAAATGAAAAATTAATTAAACCAAACCTTATTGAACACCTTGTAAGTATTACGTACTGTTCTAGGTAATTATGTCCCTGTAATAGATTGAATTCTTGGGTTCTTCATCTCCCTCTACCAAAGAGTTGCTCATCACAGACAGAATGAACTTACACAGAAAGACGACTGATGAATGATTTTGTAATTACTGAGTAATGGAAGGCTCTATAGAACTCTACCTGTGTCTTGCAGACCTACACTCTGTGCCTAAGTAGAGAGACCCATATGTAAGGTTATAGATGTTAGTAAATTATAAATACAGATTGATGAAAAGTCTTAGGAAAATGCAGAGGCAGATTATTTTCTTAGCTTTTCCTGAGTCCATCCACAGAGAAGGTGACTTGTGACTTCTATCAAGCAAAACAGAAAGTTTTGAAAGCAAAATATCCAAGAGATCCAGGGGAGTCGGTTGAACCCCGAGTGTACTCACCCTCAGCTACGTCGTCATCCACGGTTAACTTCAGGCTTTTCCCTCTTCGCACTACTCGAACTGTGTGCCACTCATTGTCATTGAGCTTCTGCCCCGCATACAGGGTCTCAGGTCCTTTGCCTACGGGCAGTGGTAGGGGCCAATGTTAGAAGCAGTTCTTACAGCAGTGTTCATGGCATCGGGGTTGTCAAAGCCACACTGGTGCACATGACTCAGGACAATTCGATGGACTGTACCCCTCTCAAAGGTCCCCCTAATCCACTGACCCAACAAGATCTTCCACAACAGTCCCTAGAAGCAAAAGTCTCAGTTCAAACACTAAGGACAGTCACAGACTAATGAAATAAATCACTCTCTTGCTTTACATAAGGCTTTAACATGGCAATGGCATGATGAGGGAATGTATATGTGAATATATTCAAGAATCAGTAGTTGGCCGTTGTTTGTTTCTCAAAGTCTTAGAGTTCAAATGAATTTCTTGAAGATATAGGAAACTCATCAGACTTATTTTAGAATCTTAGGATTATTTAGGCATAATACACCAGTCTGGCTTTTAGAAAGTATCCAACAATTAAATGAGAAAAGAACTCTGCAACATATGCTAACTTGACATTTGCATTAATTAACCCATAGTCCTACCTGCATTCAGTGACCAGAGAAATCACAGTAGAAATCATGTCAAAGTTTAAATCCCACTGTAAGTAATGCTCCTGAAGGGAATGTAAGGGCCCCCAGATTTATTCTATTTTTTATCATCCTCCAAAATGATCCAAAGATCTAAAATGTGAGATAATGTAAAATTTCAAAATTGGATCTTTTAGTTCAAAAGAATGTCTCATGCAAAGTACCACTAAGTAAAGCAATGGACCACGCTGTTTCAAGAGATCTATATTGGAGATGCTCAAGAGGAAATGCAAGAGTGTTCTCTAAAGGATCAGAGGCAACAAGGCACTGCGGTATCTAGTGGGAAAAGAGGGAAAGGTAGGGAGACACTGAGGCATAAGAATGCAGTTACTGCCAGGTTACCGTAGAAAGAGGGTCATCACTGAACTGAGATGTACATTTACAAACAAAGAAGATTGCATAGAATCAGAAGACTTAGACCAAGTTTCCTCTTTCTAAGTGGAGAGCTGAACTCACACAGAAAACATTGAATAAATATTCCAGGAATATTTCAATATGTGGAAACCTATATCTCTAAAAATGACTTAGGAAAAAAGATGAAATATATAAAATAAATATATAAGTGGCCTATATATCCCTACACATGTTATGCATCTGAAGTACTTCAGATGAATGTGTATGGATCCATCATATATAGAAAGCATACGACCAGGTACATCACAGATGCTTTAATGAGTGCTTTAAAAATAATTAATATCTACATGTTTTATTTCTTTGGTAACCATTAACTAGGGTCAATTTTTTTTTGTCTTTTTTTGTTTTGTTTTGTTTTGTTTTTCTGGTATCAGGAATCGAACTCAGGACCTTGCACTTGCCAGGCAGGCGCTGTGCCGCTGAGCTCAATCCCCAGCCCCTTTTTTTTTGCCTTTGAGACAGGGTTTTGTTCTGTACTTCAGGCTGGTCTTGAACTCATTTTGTAGCTGAGGCTGGCCTCAAACTCACAGTGATTCTCCTGCCTCAGCCTCCCAAGTGCTGGGGTTATAGGCGCGAGCTACCACGCACAGATAAGGTCAATATATTTTAATCCAAGTAATTTTGGAAGCTTTATTATTTATCTTTCAATCACTACTCTCTTTCTCTCTCTCTCCTTTGTATCAAACACTGAAGGTATTATGGACTATTTAGGAAAGAAAAAATGGTATCATCCGTATTGAAATTTCTAGATAATTTTAAACTATACCCTTTAATTTTGAGTATTTAATATCCATGTACCTACTGATTATAATGGTAGCTATTCAAGTTTAAGGGGATCCTCCTGAGAAGTAAACTTTAAAAATGATAATGTATCTTTTGTTATAAAATATACAGCAAATAACTTGTATTTAAAATTTTTAAATGTATGCAAATCTGAGCATTCAGTAAAGAAATGTAAAACAGACTCAATAGACAGCCAAAATTGAGTATCAATGACATAAAATAATGCAATAAATTTTAGGAAAAAGTAATTCTATAATAAACCATCTTATACTCAATTTCAGTTCCTTTTTGTGACCATGCTTATCTTTAATATCATCTAAAATATTATGAGATTTTTCCCTACATTTTATCTCATTAAGAACCACTGCTCATTATTTCCTTAAACTCGTCTAAATTAAATGTAGCAGTTGCTTTTACAGCAGCAAACTGAGAGGGCATTGGAAGAAAACAGGACCACATCATGTGGATACTTTATAACAAGAACAGATGTTTTCAGAACAAACAAATCTGCTTTTGTGTTTTTATGCTTTTATCCCCTTTACTCTACATGCAAATGCTTCAATAAGAAAGAAGAAAGTAAGTAACAATATAGAGGATATTGGCTAGGGAGACAGAACTGTTACAGATACGGGATATTTGAAACATCTCCCATAAGGTGGCATCTGTTCCTAGGCAATTGTTTGCACACCACCTAATTTTTATGACTGGGGACAGGATAAGAGAAAGAAGGAGGAAGACAAACACAGTCTGCGTGAGGACATTGCCACATAATTGTCATAGTAGCTACAGAATGGCAAACAAGCTTTGCCTCAGCCCAGGGTTTCTCAACTGATGCTAACATTTTACAAGTATTTTAGCACTTATGGTATCCCAGAGATGTTTGTGAAGGTCAAGTTTAAACTTTTTTGTTTTTACCGAGGGTCTTGTTATGTAATCAAGCCTGGCCTTGAATTTCCTATGTAACCTAGGCTGGCCTCAAACTTGCAGTCCTCCTTCCTCAGCCTCCTGAATGCTGGGATTACAAGTGAATACATTCATCCTAAACACAATATTTAACTTTCCGTTTGACTCTAAAACTTAAAAAATGTGAAAAACTAAAAATGTGAAAAAAATCAGAAACTTCTCATGTCCTACTGTAACCTATATTTGGTACCTCTAGCCCCATAATTCTCATTAGCTCGAGAAGAAAAGAAGATCCACCCCCACCTCATCTAAAAGTCAGGGAACTTTGTTCAACATTTGTTTTCAAGCAAGAAATAAATAAATCTCAGTGAGTTTTTTTAAAAGAGAATAAAAATAATAAAAAACATTAGAAATGATACAGAATTTCACTACACAAATGGCAGGAATTCAACAATGGTTATTATATTGTGTTTTGCTCTCTTCAAATTAGTTATTCAGGTTACCAGACAGAAGCATGCAAATTAGGTAAATGGATACTGCTAGAGACCATACTCAGTGAGCTTTTGTAAAACTCTCAGCTTCCAGACATGACAAGTCAATAGCACTTATTCTTAATCAAGCCAAAAGGTCAACTTGTCCTATTGGAGAAAAAGTGATGCTCAAAATCAGTGAGAAATACAAGCAAATAAAGAGAAGGAACAAAGCTTATCTGTGACCCAAGAATAAGACTGGATTAACAATTGATGCAGAATACAGACAAGCTGGATGTTGAAAGAAAAACTGTTAGAATTTCACAGCAGAAGGATCCAGAGGAGAGAAGATTTTCTTTGGCAAATTCAAGCAAAAGCCAGCATCAGTGAGACAATGAATATAGAGTTCTTCACTGTACATAAAGAACAGTTCAAACCAGAAGAAGAAGGAGGAAAACATTTTTTTAAAGTTGGAAGTTAAATTGGAACTAGTAAGAACTTTAAAGAATTTTTCAAAGCCATAAATTTTCCAGCACTGTTCTCTTTTTAATAACTTCTAAAATAATTATCAGCAATTAGGTACATACTTGATGTATGTACAGATGTATTCCCTGTTCTTTTTTGGTTTAAGTAATAAACATTGATCACAAGAAAATCCTTGGATTCTCTTAAGGTTGTTTAGACTATGACTTTTGGATCAAAATATAGAAAAGTAATAAATGACCTCACAGTCTTTAGTTAAACTTCTGAGGTAATAACAACCATGTCTGGAATAAAGATGCAAAATCACACATGAAGATTATTGAGATGCAGAAGTTTCAAGAGTAGAATGTTAAAGTCCTTAGTACTGTAGAACAAAGAGGCTGCAATGAAACTTTTAAGAAATACCCAAATTCCCACTCCATCCAGCCTCATACTAAACGCACCAAGAACCATCCCTTTGAAGGAAAGCTTTGTCTCAGGGAGGATAGTCTAATATTCTGATAAATGGGAACAGAGAACAAGGAATTATGGATGAAACACACCAACTAAGTTGCCTTTTTGACCTATATCCTGCAGTAGCCCCATGGAAGTCCTACTTCTTTAAAATCCAGAACTAATAAAATTAAAATGTACAAAAATAAAATAAAATAAAATAAAATAATAAAACATTAGGAGAAAGGCTCACTTTGAAAGAAAATCATGGATGACACCTTGGAGGAGAGGACCCTCAGACATTAGCAGACAGAAAATGAGAGTGAATGATCTATCAGACAAGAAAGATAGTAAGAATCTATATTTGAACATTACTAAAGGCACACATCTGCACCAGGCGGACTTTGGACTTTAATTATTTTTAAAACCAGACTGTTCATGTTATATAACTTTGTTATTCCCCCCAGGAGCAATATCATGAGGAAAATGACAAGTTACCCCCAATACATATTTGTTTATCAACATATTTCTAAGACCTGACCAAAGCAACTAAACTATATGGTTTTGCTCATACTCAGGAAGTAGAAATTCCTTCCATTTGGCCCAAATGGCTGTGTTGAAAAGTGGGTGAGGAGTATTCGAAAACTTTGTTGTTTGGTTGGAGTTAGAGGAAAGGGGGAAAAACCTGAATATTTAGCCTCTTTACCTGAATATCTTTCTATTTGTGCAAAAAAGGAGACAAGTGGTAATAAATTCAATTTCCTGTAGAATCATGTTTCACATGAATCAAAACTCCTATAATACATAAACATTTTTCAGTGGAATTTATTCCCTATTAAAAAAGATACAGTGAAAGATGGATATAATTCAATATGCAAATGACATGGTAAATAAATGCTCAAAATGATTGACTGTGTTAGATTTCAAGAACACCAAAGATATTTGTAAAGA